GTTTTGCCAATATTGAATACAAAGCGTTTTGCCAATATTGAATAAATGAGCATAGAGCTTGCTGTATCACAGCTCGTTCTTATAGCTCTAAATATTCAAGATATCGATATTCTATAATACATGTACGTTTTGCGTATCTATTTTTGTGAAATAAGTACAATTTTTTGGCAAGTAATTGTGAATATTAATGCCCAGCAAACAATTTTCATGACAAAACTCTTTAATTATAGAAAGTTTTATTAATAACGTTTCATTGCTTTAATGAGTTTGAACTCATCAAAGCTTTTGTTCTGGTTCTGCCAGTGTCACTTGTTAACCCATTAAACTGCAATGACCCTACTTTATTACTTGACGTCTACTGACTATAGACAATTTAATTTGCTGGCCAAAGGACGAGTCTTGCACATAATAAACATTACAAACCAGCGACTCTGCTCATCTTCTATATGAAAAGAGGAAACATACATTCACTTTCATTTAAAACTATGGTTAGGGAAAATTACATGCAGTGACATAGCGACCGGGGGGTGTAGATGGTTATCCCCCCCCCCAATATTTGGTCATGAGTAATTTCAGGCAAATTGTAAGAAAATTTAATCTGATTTTCGGTAACTTACAACCCCATTGACTGGCAAACGCGGAAGTTAAAAGGGAAAGCAAGTTAAAAATGCCAAATTCTAGTTGCATTTAAATGGGCGGCTAAATCATCAAATCTTTCTCGGGAGAACATCCTCCAACCTCTCTTGTAAATGTAACCCCGTATCCAAAGTTTGAAAATCATTATTCGTTCTATTTATTCTTTTATTTGTTTTATCTAAATTTAATTTTTCCGTTTGTAATATAAATCGTTTTTAGACACCCATTGTTGTTATAATAATTTATATAGCTGTGATCACTGGAAAAAAATTTGAAAGTCCATAGAATGGAAATTGTATAGACCTTTATTGGAAATAGAATGGATTTTTGATTATCCATAATCATTGTATATTTCCATGCTATGGATATAGTATCGAAATAGTATGAATATACAGTGGATTTAGTGGTGCAATTGTAAAATGTGAATGAAATACCAAGTATTCTCTTTGAGAAATTGCACCATAGAAATACCAGAGTTTGTGCCAGATTTAGCTAAGAAATCTGACTATAGCTTCGTTTTGGCGCTTTTTGTACATTTGAAAGGGCAATAATTTCACTTGCGTATATTGTTTTCAATCTCGAACTATTGTATACTCAAATAACTGTCTTTGTTAAAAAGTTATGTATTAACCTGGTAGTACACTCCTGGTAGTGCATAAAATATAAAATAATCGATCAATGGAATATACTGTACAGAAAATTCTAAATAAAACAGCCCCGAACTTGCACTACATCTAATGTTTCACCCCGTAAGCAATTCCATTATAAGTTTCACATGGTGTACTTATTCGCAGCGACTCAGCAGTTATTCTATAATCCAGGAACAATATACATGCACACTCTAATGTACATAGATAATAACTTAAGAAGCTTATGTAGTGCAAAGCTTTTAATCTGTGTAAAAATGAACTAAATCTATAGTAATCCTGTAGTAATCCATATACACGTTTAATTATTACTTGTAACAAGGATTAACCCCATTGTGCCACACACTTTGTGAATGGAAGGTATATGTATGGGTAAATTTTTTTCTGGTTAATCTATAGGAATAATATTTTCTCGTTAAATTAACCAGGCTATACCATATAGGTGGATAAACAACCAGGGACTCCGGTTATACAGGGTGTATAAAATAAAGGTAATGTTATCGTGAACTATATGTCAGTAGTACGTTTAACCATTTACTTTTTTCATACCAATAAAGATCAGGCTTTTAGCTGTCGAATGATACCTTGAATGATATCCTGTGTCATTGCGATCTAAGAGTTACATTATTAATAACAAGGGACCGGTTGTTCAAAGGTGGGTTAGCGTTTAAAATTTAACCTGCTCTTTTAGTTTGTGTATTTCTACACGTCTGTTTATTCCAAAACTTCAAAGAAGAAAACTCCTATCGATCCAGACAAGATTTCTGAAGAAATATTCCCAAATTTATTGACAAGCTGTTAGGAAGTTTGGTTTCAATTTTAGGTTAATAGGCAGTAAGCTAACCCAGCTTTGAACAACCGGTCCCAGACTATACTTTGTTCAGCTTGTCAAACTCTATACTACATTTTCAAAAAAATTATGTTATTTGGAAAGAAGTGCAGATGAAATATAAATTTTGTTTTTGATTCCGAGAATTCTTCTAAATCATCTTTAACAATAATAATCATTTATTTTTCTGTAAATTATAAATTGCCTGAGTCCATCAAATAATCCGATTGTATAGTATAGTTGTCAGCTAGAAAATATCTATCATAAAAATATTGCTTTAACATTGACTAAGATCGAATTAATATTAAGTCAATAAAAGTAACTGTGAAATATAACGCTCATTTCCTCATTGAAAGTGATCTATCTTGTACATATTTCCGTCCGTTTTCCTTTATGTGACAGTTAATCAAGATATATTGATATCAGATTATTCTAAAAAACGTTGTGATGAAAAGGAACCCTATAGTATACATTTAGGCGGTTCCTGTGAATGAGAAATAGATTACTATTAGTTGAAGATTTCGTTCCAGAAAAGAGGCGTGGGCTAGGTTTAAACCACGTTTTCAAGTACATCGTGTGAAAACCTCAAAACCTTTCAAGAATTTTTATTATTATTATTATATATAAATATTTTGGCTAAACCCGTGTTCAGCTTTACAGTATTGTGGCAATATAGCGAAAAACTTGCCTATTTTTTAAATACCCTACAATGGTACCCTTTTAAATTCCAGTCATTCTAAATAGGAAAGCAGGAGTTTTTTTATCATTTATCAATTAATTTAACTGCACATTTATCAATTTAATATGTCAATTCAGTTGAAATTTTGAGACCATTATTTATGGCTGGGGTGGCCCGAAGAAAACAGGGTTGGGTATAGACAAAATTTCGAGTGAGCAAAATTAAGGTTGCATGGCGGTAAATACTAAACAAAACAAATCAAGGGTTGGGTAATAAAAATGTTTTGTCATTTCCGAAGCCATGCATGACTTGCGTCAGTGTGTGTCATGCATATACCTTATATGAAGGTCCTTATAAACTTATATGAAGACCTTATAAAAGATCTGTGAGACTGTGACACTGGCTATTCTAAAGCAATGTCAACAGTCATGTATCATAACAATTAATATGTGAATCTTGACCATTTTCCAATTTGCCAGGAGGCAAATGGTGTCTCGAAAGAAAGTCACACGAAGCCCAGTCGAATTGTAATCAAGACCCAACGTTTCGACACTCCAGTCTAGTGTCTTCATCAGGGGTGATCTAAAACTGCGATCGTGGCTTCTTAAATACCCAAGGGATGACGTCACCTGCCAAGAAGATGCATATATTCCTCTGGCAAATAGGCACCGTCATCCCTATTCAAAGCATGATGACTCATATTTATATGCCACGCTTCTAGGCAAAGTCTTTGACCATAGCGATTGTTTGTGGTAATTACTTTAGAGTTTTCCCACGCAATCAGTCTCGTGTTTGGTGTAACATACATGTTCGGCTATGTCGAAACGTTGGGTCTTGATTACAATATTTTTTTATTGTCATTGATATTCGAGGTTGGGTAAAAAAATGTTCACTTTGTAATGGTTAGATTAGCAAAATTTCTACCAAGAAAAAATATTTCTCTTCGGTGTCCCTAAAATACGAATATATAACTGAATTATCAGTGTCGGAGTTGATGAGAGTTCCAATTCGCTTACAATATACAAACGAGTGGCAACTCAGTTTAATTGACTATAGTATAGGTGGTTCAATTTTTGATGCTCTTGAGAAACGTCTCACTGCAATTAGTCCCGAATTACTCTCGCTTCTCAACTCTGATCAACACATCCTCGTTTGACCGCGACTTTAGTACTGAGTATACTTTCATTAAACTCTCAGACATGCCGCGTTCGCCATGAAAGACTCATGCGGATATGTTGTATATTGTTGACGCCGCGATTATCAATCATTATTTCAAATGCGCATTGCCAAATTTCCGCATAATGTAAAATGTAAAATTTATCACTATTATTCAATGTTTAGTGTTATAGTTAATTACATAACAGCCATGAGCCGACATCGTGCAGTGATGTTGATATATCCCCCATAGAAACATTTTATGACATTTTTATACCAAACATATGCATGTGACTATATATCGGAGATTGTGTCACAGATACCCTATACGCTCCAATGAGTCATTGCAGTCTGTGGACGTCGCCTGTGAACCATGTCTGATGACTGTGTGGAATAGCTTCATTGAGGAAAGAATGGATATCCCTCTGTGAGTCAAAGCATTGCTAGTCATCACCTCTACAGAGCGCTTGCTTCATATATCGACACTCGACAGGACTACACACAGAGTGCCATACAACATTGCGGCTCGTTAAATTTAAATAACTGATATATTGTTACGACACACAAGCCACCAACTTGCTGGGCAGAATTCAATTCACTAACACAATATTTCGGTTAATATTAAAGTGTTAACCTGTTAAGTGCTATCTAAGAGTTTCTTTGAAGAGGGCATTTCATTGTGCCCGCAAGGCGCAAGCAGTATACCAAACTATCAGACACTCAGGATGTTGGCGAAATCGGTTCTACTTTTCTGCTTCGTTCTCGTGCTATTTCGTCAAGATTATTCTACCATCGCCGAGAAAACGCTAAAGAAACACACCACTTCGAAACGTAAGTGATATTTCCACTTTTGGTTGATGATTTTGAATAGCGAGTGCTCAAAAAGAAGATCGAGCCTGTCGTTTCCTAACTACTAGGGAATGTCAAGTTCTGATAAAGACCGCGACTTTCTCAGACATTAAAGCTTTTAATGTGTGTATAAAACCGCGAGCTCTATTTTTCTAGAATATATTATGGCATACAGTTTAGTGGTTCAATTCGCGCTTCGTGTGTATTTAATGCTAATCTAGTATCATTTTCACGACTGAAATGGACTGTTTAATTAATAAGATCGTATGTTCACTCTGTCTGTTTAGCCCGAAGGTTGCGCTATCTCTGTGTAATCTATTTTGACAAAGACTTGCTAATTTGCGCACTTGCGTTCGCCTGTTTGTCGCGTGTTCTGAAAGCACATTCATGAGTATGTAAATAGCCATTGAATCAACAGTCTCATACAGGCACAATATATTGTGCGATACTATGCAGTAATTATAAGATCGGCTGTGCATATTGTGGTTGACATGAAGTTTGTCAAACTAGCACACTAGCATACTAGCACAAATACCAACGTTTTAGACTTTAAAATGTTTTAAACAGGTGAAATAAGTTCAAAGAATATTGGTTTTATTACAATGAACTATTAAGGGCAATGGTTCGGTCATTTACCGTAATTATAATTAATCACAGAAGCCAGACGGGAGTCTTTAAGAGCTTTTTATACTTTATGGAAATTCAGTGAAGATATACAAAGATACCACTGTATGTTTTGAAGATTGATATGAAGATTTTAAGAATTCTTCCAATCGTCTGCCACCTGCGTCGATTTGGAGGTAAAATAAACACAGTCCTAATAAAATAGCGATGATCGTATCTTTAGCGATTTCGGGTGGAATTTTGAACTAACAATACTTATGTAGAAAGCATGAAGGAGTAAAACCGAATATTGATTTTCAACATGGATGCGTTGTTACGTGGCAGTATTCTCAACGAGGTCATCCTCGCTTAGTTCGCGTGGACACAAATTTAAACAACAAATGAATGAAATGAAATCATTACCGTGTGATCATTCAACAAGTGTAACTCCAATGAAATTGAGTAGGTCAAATTAATTAAGAAATGCTTATTGCAAATTGGCATCTCTTGTCAGCTGAAACTTGCATGGTTGCGCTACTCTATCTCCAAGCTCGGCTCCAGGTTATGCCGCCAATGCGAATGGCGCGCCCGAGATTTTTACAAGTTGAACTGAGTTTAGCTGGGCGAACGGTGAACCATGATCTTGTGAATTCATGTCTAAAAAAATTGATTAAAATAATGCAACCCCATTTAATGTAAATTTACTTAAAATTTACTCAAAATTTTGAGTTACAATTTTACTCGAGTCAAAATACTCCGGAATTTTTTGCAGTGTTTGATGGTATTTAAGTTATTTAGACTGGAACTACAAGTGCTACTAATTGACTAAAACACAGGAAGATGGCTTTTTAACCCATAACCGCATAAAAGTTTTCACCCAGTCAAAAGATTATATAACTGATTAGTATAATTCAGGGCGCATCAAATTTTGCGCATCCAAGTACTGTGCTCTGCATTCTGAAACAGTAACCATATAGATTATTATAATTATGCGTATAGACCAACCACACGACATTTTGTGTTGTTTATATTTTAGTGTGTGTTTGTTGGGTAATTAATACATATACACAATTTAGAGTATCCCGCACACAGATGCGCAAATTTAGAAAGCGATTTTTATAACTTTTTAATAAAACGCATATATTACTGCGCAAATATGAAAAATTCCACATACAAACATTCAGCATGACTTAAACTTATCTATGCATGTACGTGCTATAAAGACGCATACTGTCGCGCTAACTCGAGATTAGGAAACAGTTGCGAAGCGCAAGGTTTTCATTGCTGTCAGCAACACTTTACTGCAAACATTCCCGCGTCAAGATCAATAACAAAGCATGTTTATCACACATATCACGTAGTGCTGCCGTTCTCACGACGCGGTGAAAACTAACACTAACACCTATTCGTATTGACCATTTATACATGCATTATTATTACCCGTGATGTAGGGTAATATTTTTTAGATTCAATTTGGGAAAGTATATTGGATTGAAGATTGGTTAAATACCGGGCAAGAATGAAATAATTCGGTGTGGTTATGGCCACCCCATAGAGCATTGAAGCAACATGATACTGCGCCTAATTTTTGGCACAGGTGCTGTACCATGGCAGGTTTAAAACCTGGACTCATAATTATGAACTGTCTGTGCCAGTGTAGGTAGTGTCAATAATATGAACAAGCTTTCGTTGATAGGGATGCAACTACCTGAAAAATATGAGGAAAATTTATACATTTCGAGCGAAGGCCCTTCGTCTGGTGTCATAACTACCTTTCCACAATCTTGGACATTGCAAGCCGTTCCAGTCTACTACACGTCGTGAGTACGCCAGGATATAGAGGGACGCCGGAACGATGTACGTGAAGGCAAGGGGCAGATTTTCGTGAAAGGGCACTTTTGAATTGATAAATACTAAGAGATGTTTGCAAAACATCGGGAGTTGAACTTCGCCTAATCATGTTTTCTATTGGATGATAGGGATGTGAGGGGGTTTTCCGCCAGGCGATTGTGCTATTCTTGAAGCTCGATGACTGCATTTCTTGCGTTTTCTGAAGCAAATTCGTAAAAGAATTGCACTAACATTTCTGACAATTCGCTATTTCGCTAAGTTAATCCTTTAAATTGAAAGGGCACCTTTGCCCCCTTGCCCCTCCTTGTAAAAGGCAACGAGGGCGGCTGCCCCTCCTGCCCCCCAGTTCCGGCGTCCCTGAGGATATGCCTAGTTGAGTCTCAGTCCCTCTACACAAAATTCGCATACTCATTATACTAAATTGCCTGTGAAGTCACGTCATACGTTTATATATAAGCCCCCACTCCCCCAATTCAATGTTGAACTTGTGTCATATACGTACCAACAGTTGTTTCGAGGTGTGCACAACTTTGAACTGGAGAAGAGGGGCGATGAAGTTGGTTTTGTCAATGTGCATTAACTAATGCATGCATTATTGGGAACCTGAGCTCATTTTTTTATTTTGCTCAGCAAAGTGCACACATTTTGTAAGCTGTACGAGGTGATTCCTCTTCTTTCGTCATTTTCCCTTACTTACACTTACGTTCTAAAAACATTCTGGGTAAAATTTTTCTGGTAAACTGCCTAGGAATAATTCTATGGTTGTATTTCCTCCTAGAATAGCGTTGTGATTGTACAAAGAATGTCCTTGTCAAATCAGTATAATCTCAGGTTCCTATAACCCAGAAGAGAATCCAGTTCCATGAATCCAGACTTCTAAGGTTCCTTTCACTTGTCGTCACATCGTAAAAAGACCAGAGAAAAATATGCAATTCATTTAGCTGTGATTTAACCAAACTTCATCACTTATTGCTCTTGAAATAATCCTTGTGTCAAGAAATGCCGGCTATTTAACCGACCACTTCAATATGCTATTGATATGGGCTTTTCACCTTCCCGACAACAGGGATTTCGTACCGTCTGATGAAACTAATAATCGCGCACTGTACTTTAAAGCTTCTGCGATATAAGTTCTACGTTTGTTATTTATTGTACGAAGAAACATATATTGCTGATATTGTGATGTTTTAAGGCGGGAAAGCCATGTTTGACAGATATTGGTGTTTTTGCCTTGGCGGTCCTGGTGCCTCTTTACTTCAAAGAGGAACGAAAAGTTCTCCCAGGAAAAGAATTTTGGCATAACGATCTGTTCTCAAATTCTTCTGACCGATACTTTCCAGTTGTATGCGTTTTTGCAAATAGAAATATAAGCCATAATTGATTTCATCACTTACATTTATATGCATGTTGAGACAATATTAAGTGTCTGACAAAGATTTAAAAAAAAAGCGCATACTAAATTTTTAACTAGTATAAAATCATTAATTGATCAATTGTTAATGAACAATTGATCACTCAACGAGTGATAATATATAGAAAAATACGTGGAATACATCTTTGGATCTGTTTTCAGGACGCTATACTCTGACTACTGAGCCCTGTAGTGGTTGTATTTTTTTTATTTTAATATAACAAAAATATAAATTTCATTGCATTGCTGGCCTAGGTTTAAAAATATTTCTGGTCGTTCATACCGCTAGGCCTTCTTAGATGAGCTCCCGTGGCCCGGCTCCTTCCTCCCACACACACCACTCTCAGAACATTAAAACCAGACCATCCAGGTTATGTAGCATTTGCAAGTCTTCAGACAGGTTGTTAATGGCGGCCATACAGTTTTTCTTACTGCATGGGTGGACTGGAATTCCAAACATTGTTTGTCCCCAGGATCGTCTGACCCTCGGGTCACACCCTACCTCGCTGTAGATGAACATTAATCCTGTCACAAAATGCAATAATTTCTTGGCACTTTGCAAGCGGAAACAGGTGTTAACTCTAATATGAATATCAATGGCATCCCCCTTGCAACCCATTTCCAAAACTATGAGGGGTGCACACCCCCTGGGCCCTGCACTAAAAACATTTGTGCAGGTTTAAACCCATTCAACCCTCCATTTTCTTCGATATCATCTCTGAAATTTGCAAATCTCTGAAATTTGCCGGCTTACCTAATCATGTCGTTATATTAACTATGATAGCAGTGACCGCGTGACTATATATAATCTGCGTTAGGTACTGACCTCCGATAATAGTCCTTTACAAAATGCATTAATTTTTATACCTATTTTATAGGCCGTATAAGACTGTAACATAAATATCAAGAAACTCTTTAAGTGTGTGAAGTGTGTAGGTGGAAAATGATAACCGCGCTTAATGCTAATTAGCAAAGGAAGAAATTCTCTTTTAAATTAAATTAAACATGTCGTCTATTATTAACATTGATGGAGATCCTTGCAATAATGAATATACCTTATCCCAAAAGATAATTTTGTTTTTCTTACCATGCAAAGATTCAAGGAACATATTCAATGA